AGTTTTATCTATTTGAAGTGATCTTTATACATTGCCTGCAGGTAAAAATTCTGAATATTTCACTCTCGAAGTACGTTATGGAGGACAATTTTTTGATAAGCCAAACAATGTGGCGTATGAAGGGGGTTTCATTCTTTTCGTCGACTACTTTCACGGTAAATGGTGCATCAAAGAGAATTTGCATAAATTCTTACATGGAACTTGTGATGAAAGAGTGTTGAAATTTTACTATAAGAAGCAAAAAATGAGTTTAGGGAGGGGGTTGACGAGATTGGAGACTGAAGAGGATGTTAAGGGAATGCTTCTTGACAGGGATGGACATCCAGATGTGAAAATATACGTTGTAGCCCGAATGCAATCATATGCATTGCCTTTGCAGCCTTGGTCTTCAGAAGTAGATAAAGACCAAACATTCGAGGGGGGTTATATACCTTTAGTCGGAGAAGGCGAAGTGGGGGAGCATGAAGGAAATTGGTCAGACCAATGTTTGCAAGAGAATGCCGATGAGTTGTGGTCACAGTTCGAGCAAACCTTAGAATACCAGAATGAAGAACCAAGGGTGGAAGAGGAAGTTGAGGATCAGGATGAAGAACCAAGGGGGGATGAGGAAATTGAGGATCAGGATGAAGAACCAAGGGCGGATGAGGAAGTTGAAGGTTTGGTGGAGTCCGATTATGAGATGGATATGGAGCAGGAGCCTGAAGGTGGGAGTGAATGGGCTAATTTTAACTTTGGATTTGGTGTATCAAATGAGCAGTTTAGGGATTCAGATACCGAATATGGGAATTCCGATGATCTACGAAGCATTGATAGTGAAGAGGATGGCGATACAACTTCAAGAAGGGGGCTTCCAATGCTGCTTTTCATGTTTAGACAGATTTGGAGAATCCAGTTTTTCGAACAGGTCACTTGAACATATTCTGCACTTCAATTTTAAAGATGATTATGTACTTGATTTTATTGAGCATTGATATGTATTGAATTTTCGTTTGTGTAGGCTTGGTGTTTGAGTCAAAGGCCATACTAAAGGATGTAATCACCGAATATTCAGCTAGAATGAATAGAGAGATTAAGTTCAAAAAGGATGACGCTGTCAGATTGTGAGCCAAATGCAATGGAGAATGTCCACAGGTGTTGTATGCCACCAAGAAGCATACAAAAACAAGTTTGGTGATCAAAACTTATGTAGACTAGCACGTCTGCCCTATGGTGTATAAGAACTTTAGAGTGACCTCCAAGTATCTGTCAAATAGGTATTTAGCTGACTTGAGGGCTGACCAAAAAATGCCAGTAACTACATTCATGGAGAGGGTTAAGCGTGATGGTTTATGGGACATCTCAAACTGGCAAGTGTACAGAGCGAAGGAGAATGCACTTGAAAAAATAAGAGGGAGTGTGGTGGATCAGTACAGATTGCTGTGGGGTTATTGTGAGGAACTGAAGAGGACTAATATGAGGACCACTGCTGTGGTTGAGGGGTACGCGGGAGAATTTAGACACATATATATTTGCCTTGGGGCTTTGAGAGATGGTTTTATTCGGGGCTGCAGGAGGGTGATTGGAGTAGATGGGTGCTTTTTGAAGACGGAGCATCGTAGCCAGTTGTTGATTGCAGTTGGGATTGATGCTAATAATGGCATGTATCCGGTTGCATACGCAGTTGTTGAAGTTGAGAATGGAGATAATTGGAGGTGGTTTTTGGAGCTATTGAAGGATGATCTGCACATACACA